CCCAACGTGACAGGGAAACACCATTTAGGCATAAGCAATCCAGGGTCCTTCTGTACATCCTTGGTTATATATGAAGATATATGCATCTTTCTACAGGTATGGGGAACACTTCCTTCCTTTAGGTGTGTGAATAAATAGACATCTAGATAAGGCCTGTGTAAATTGCTCCTTCAGGAACACAGGAAGTGTTTTTACCAGAAGCAGGCTGACAAACCGAGAGACCTGACAATAAGTCTTCTAGCCTTTAACTCCTAAAGCATCTAATGTTTTATGATGAAGTCAGTTTCTTCAAAATGCAGACAGTCTACAAAGACTCCAGAACCAAATGCATCTCAGAAATAGCAGTGGCCAGACACCAGATAACTATTTCAGATTTCTTAATTCACAGATGATCCAAGAGCAGCAAGTAACTGATTTCTAAGATTTCAAACAGCTTTTCGTTCACCTTGCAAAGTGACTTGAAATGCAAGAGACATTTCAAAGTGACAAAGTGACAAAAATGCATCTTGAACTACGTTCCCACAGGGATCTTCTCTCTGTAAACTGACCAATGGTTTCACTGTTTGAATTACACATGAAGTAGGTACTTTTGCAGCTCGTCACTACAGTATCAGAGAGCACCACAATCACTGATTAACCATTCCCCATAACACACTTGAGACAAGGACAAAACAGGACAAATTATACAACTTTGGCCTGAGATTAAGCATTAGAACCTGAACCTCAATATCCCAAGTCAAGACCAAGGTACCTCACCCCAAAGACATCCTTTGTACCAGAAACTGATCATTCCTTCAGCAAATATTATAAAGGAGGAACTTTCCTTTCCCCAACTTCTGACTGAAGCCCATTGGGAAGACCGCCATTTAATCTAGTTTCCACAATTTACCATTCCTAGAAAGCATGCAAAGGGAAGAATTTACTATCCCAGCCTTTTACTTTTCAGGTAGTGATCTTGCTCCGTGAAGAATTTCACTGTTTTAATAGTTTTAACAGACCTGAAGAAAAATAAAACATACCTGTCATTGTCCATTTCATTTCAATGATCTCTCTCTACTATTTGGATAAGCTATCAACAGCTCCACAGTCATCTCCCATAGGTTCAAGAATACTACACTATCAGATAACCCTTAAAATAACTTGAAATTTAGGATATTAAAGAACAAACAAAAAAAAAAATCCCAAAACCCTCCATTTAGCAGATATGGGAGAAGGCTTAAGCTCTACACATAAGTGAAGTCCTTCCCCTTCTTCCTGTACCAACTCCTGTTTTAAAGTTAACATTACTCAATTATTTTCATCTTACTCTAGTGAAATACCTCCTATGAGGTCCAATATGCTAAATACAGTTACTTTAATGACAGCACACAGGCTGTAGGTACTTTTAAATATTTAGAGACTACAATCACCTAGGCCAGTGATTCTCAGCAGGATGACACTGGAAGATCCTTTTAAGAGTGCCATTCAAAATTAACACTGTAGGCATACAAACACCTACACATGATTCTATATCAACTTAGAGATTTCAAATAGGAATCCACAGCATCAAAAACATTATGACCTGTTGTGGTCCGAGTTCTCTGCAAAAGAAACATTGCTCTCTCTCTCTCTTTTTTTCTTTTACTGTGGAAAAATAAGAGTGAAAGCTAAGATCTAACATTGTCCAAGAGGTGTTTTGAGTCTAAAAAAGTTGAAAACCACTGGTCTAGGCCTAATATTTGGTTTATATAATTTCTCTAGGTGTCCTATAATTCTGTGGAATTCTCATCTCTGAAAGCAAGACCAGCATGATGAACAAATTAAAATATTCCAGTTTCACAATTCCATCTTTATAAGAAAATCTCTTTTAAAAGTTTCTTAAAAGTACTTTTGAAATTGAAGGAAGGTATTATTCTTACAAACATACTGAATAAAGCCACACTATGGCCCAACTTGGGGTAAATATCAAGATTGCATGAAGTCCCTCACACACACAGTAGTATCCCACATGTTCCTGTTTATCAAAAATGTGTTCCCTGACAGTTATACTAGTAAAGTTCACAGTAACTTTCTTTATGTATTTCTCAAATCCTGACAACTCTGCAGAAGCCATGGACTCCAGGAGATTTTGAAAGACCCAAGTACACTGCAGAGAACTATTTCAATCATTTCAGTCATGTTAACAAGATCAACATAGATTTTAGAGCAGTGCAATGGTGTGTAAAACTGGAACTTAAACCTGCTGAAAGCTAAACTAGTCAAAAGAAGTAATATGCATATAAAATAGCTGACCTGTACAGAACACAATGCTCCTCCGACATAGCGGGGGGGGGCACTTTTTTTGGCAACATACCACATTAGCCCTACCCCTGCCCCTCAATACCACTCTAAGAGGAAGGGCATCAATTTGCTGCTCTGTCTTCTGTTTCTTGCCCTGTGCTATCTGCCTGATCTCCTGCTCTACCTTCTGTTGCTGTGCTGCCAATCCCTTCCCTGATCACCTGTATGCCATACACAGAGGCTTACTTGTGCCACTTATGGCACTCATGCCCAGGTTGCCCACCCAAAGCCTAACATTTATAAAAATAAAATAAGAAATGGTTTTCATGTGACATTTCAGGGCTTTTCTTGTTAGTGAAATGTACAGGTATCACTAACTGTGTTGACTTGTTTTGAAACAAGCATCCACACAGGAAATTACAGCCCTAGCAGATATAATTATGCCCATCTATTTCTTCATGTAAATAAGTCCTTAAATGTATATGAAACTTAATCTTAGTACCATTTTGCAAAAGGCTTGTATTTGGCACTCAAACTGCTTTTCAACATGATCAATAAAAGATACTAAAGGAAGCTTAAGAACACTGTCCTGTAGTCACAGCCAGTCCGAAGTCTGCATTCTTGATTCAGTACTGGGGCTGAGTACACCAGAACAGAAATTACCACAAAGATCCCCAAATCAGCTAACAGATTCATATTTTGTTTATTTCATCAGCTAGAAGTAAGTAACTCAGACTAGAAACCACACAAGAAGTTTGCACACAGGAGTTCAGACTTCAAAGTCATGAGTTCAGGGCAGAAAGCCACACCTTTTGAAGAAGGATGCCATGTTTGTCTACCTAAATTGTAAGAAATTCTTTAATAGATGGATAGATGGCTTTAACAGATCCTGTTCTTTATTTGGTCCTACAGCAACAGGCACCTAAGAATTGTGCACGTTCGCCTTGGTATAAGAAAACACCAGTCAGGCCAGTTTGCTAGAAAAAGATTGGACATGGCACTTTAGTATAGTTCCTGGTCTACAAAAACAAAGTTGTTTTATAGGCAGTTCTTTGCAAATATGTCAACTGACTATTCTAATGAAACTAACAGCCAGTTCAGAATGGCATACAAGTTGCATCCTATTTTGACTTAATGAATGGGTTTAAAATTAATGGTAGGATTAATGGATTGATAACCATGATCACTTCCTCTCCCAGTAACTGACCACTTTTGCCACTGTGGCCTAATAAAACAAACCATATTAAAAAAATTAACACACTACATATTGAAGCTTAATGAAAATATACTTTTCAATCTGAGAATTAAAGAGAAGGAAGATGAATCAAAGAATTAAAAAGAAGTGAAGATGAGGATAATTTAGCCAGTAGCCAAGTAAATGTTACATTTTGCTATAGCACCTCTTTACATTAGTGAATGCTACAGATATGCTTGTTGTTTTGCAGTAGTTCTTCACAAGATGCAACTGCTACATGCATTCACATTTCCTCATAAAGCTGATGATTCGTATTGGGTACTTTTACTCAATTTTTAACAGTCAAGCATAGTAGCAGGCCTTTTCTAGGCAACTCCCCCAACCCCCTAGCGGAGGTACAATTTATAACATCAAGAGGCATTATTTTCCTACTATACCTTATGGCATGCTGAGTGACTTTTCAACTGTACCCCAGGAAGAAAATCTGTACTAGCAAAAGAAATAAACCATGTCTACATCAGGGGAAGGGGTAGGAGGTGCCTACAGTACAGTTATAAATGCTGAGGGATTATTTTTCACCTATTAACCAACCAGCTTTTAGGATGAGATCTAAACTAGTATGAAGTCGAACAAAAAATATTACACCTGACAAGTTATTCCTGAACACAGATAAGTCTTTCCTGAAGAGCAACTCCTATGAAAATGATTAATTCAAGGGTCAAAAAGAAAAGAGAAAGCACCTTCGGCATCAGTCAGCAGAAAGGAAACTTCAAAACTTTAGGGCCTTTCTAAGACTCTAAGATGCTTCCTACTCCAAAGCATAAGAAGAGTTGGGCAGAAGGCAGGGCAGATTTTCCCCCTTATAGACTCAGTAAATCAGAGCTTTCGTAGGCATCAGCTTACCTCACCAGATACTACAAAGGAACTTCTAAAAAAGAGTCACCGCCTCATTCTAGGTCACTGATCGCTAATAAATTAAACAGGTAAAATTGAAGCGAGTTGCGTTGACCACGCAGAGACCTCCAAATAAAGAGCAAAACAACTGTGATCTACAGACATGTTTCTAGCTGTTGTAGGAAGACTGCCCCAAAAACCAATTTCTTTGAAATCATTAAGAAAGCCCAAGCAGCACTTCTAACCATGGCCCAGCTAGGGCTGTAGGGCATTTCTTTTGCCCAAAAAGTGTTCCCAGACCTCCTCGGGGGAGGGAGCGAGACAAGCCAGCCTCAGAGTGGCTTCGGGGTCTCTGGGCTTTTGCTTTTTCCTCTAGCAATATCACCATTCCCCTGGTCCTGCAGCTCTTAAATTTGGGCTCCTGGGTTCGGTAGCCCCAGGACTCAGCTACTCCCCGCATCCCCGGGAGACCGAGACAGCAAAATTAAGACAAGAAGGGGGGAGGGGAGGGCGGCCCGGGCCGGGTCACCCCGGGGCAGCTCGGCCCGCAAGGCCCGGCCGGCCCTGCCCCGCGCCCGGGAGCCCCACGAGAGCATCGCGGCGCCCCCTCCGGCGCAGGCCTTGGCGGCGCTCCCGTGCGAGCGGCCCTTACCTTGTGGATTCTCTTCAGCGCCATTGTGTGCGTGTGTGCGTGTGTGAGAGAGAGTGTGCGGTGTGTGCGCGGGTGCGCGCGGGCGGTGCGCGGAGAAGGGGCGCGCGGGGCCCTGGGCTCGGCCGCTGCGGGGGAGGGAGGAGGGAGGGAGGGAGGAGGGGATTGGGATTATTTTTCCGGGGGGAGGAGCGCGGAAGACGCGGATGTCCGTGCGACAGCGGCGGGCGGGCCTCGCGCTCAGCTCCCCCGGCGGCGCTCGGCGCTTCCTCGCTGCTGCGGATCCTAGCGCATCCCTCCGCGGGCCCTTTATGCCCTACCGCCCGCGAGCGTATCACTCCGCCGCGAGCCCAGCAGCCAGCAGCGGGGCGGCCGGGCGGAGGGGCCGCCGCACCTGGTGATGGGGCTCGCTCGGGCACGGGGACTACTTCTGCTCCCTCCCCCCGCACGCAGAACTCTCCAGAAGGGGGAGGGGAGCGCGGCGGCGGAAGGATATGAGCCGCTGAAGAGGGGGGTGAGATGACTTCTCGCGAGAAGGGAAGAGGAGAGGTTCCGGCTAGGGGGTGGGAGACTTTGTGCGGCCGCCGCGCTGGGTGCGGGCGGGGCG